AGGGAAAAAAGACGGTTAGAACCTACGAAACAGGCGAGGCAAAAAAAAGGTAAAACGAAAAAGTTGCTAGATGATGCAAATTTAGCAAAATTAATAACAAAACATAGGGAAAATATTGAAAATGCATCTTCTTCTGTGAAAAAATGGTATGAAAAGTAATCAAGAAATTGATAAAAATAAAATAAATTCTTGTATAAATTTTCTTTTTTTTTTTTTCTTTTCCTAACTGTAAACAAAAGGACAAAACAAATATTTACAATTAATGTAAATTTTAAATAAGATTTTATAAGCAAAAAAAATTAATTTTTAGGGTCAAAAAAAGGTCACACACTCACCTCCCAAAAAGTAAATAATTGATTTAATTTAAATATATTAATATCAATTTTTTTTATTGTTGTTTTAATAAATTATCGCCCTATCAAAAAAAAAAAATTAAATTTTAAATCTATTTATTCATTTATTAAATTTGCTGGAAGGTAAAAATAAATTTCCTACTTTCCCATATAAATACTTATATAAATATAACAACAAATGTAATAATAATAATAATAATATCCTACGTTCCTTTCGAAAAATAAATTGAGTAGGGGAAAGTTTTGTTCTAGAGAATATAGCCGGAAGAATTACAACTTTTATTAATTTCTTACGTAGTTCGACAAAAGGAGGGGTAGGAGGAGGAGGGGGGGGAGGAAGAAGTCAAAAAAGGAAACATCTATTGGTGGACTATTAATTCACAAACGTTACAAATTTGTCGTTAAAAAATTAATTAATTAACAAATAGAAAAAACAAATAATAATTTTGTAAGTGTAAATGTAACGGTTTTTTTTTTAAAAAAAAAAAAAAAACCGTTACGTAATGTGAAGATGATAGAAAAAGAAAACATTATTGTTTTCCTTCCATTTAAAAGAGAGAGAGAGAGAGAGAGAGAGAGGTGTAAAATCTAACACGAAAGATTTATTTTGCAAATGATGATGATGATGATGATTCGTTTGATGAATTTATTAAAAAGTTATTTAAAAACGCATAAAAATTAAATTTTTTTTTGTTTTTGTTTAATTACTTAATTATTTAAACATTTTTTGCAAAATTATCACGTGACGATTTTGTTTAAACAAAAGAAAAAAAAAAATTATTTTTAATCGGTTTTCGAACGTTAATTTTTATTATCCAAGGGATCGCCATCATTCTATTAAACGTTATTATTATTATTATTATTATTATTATTATTATTATTATTATTATTATTAGTATTATTATTATTATTCGATTAATCCAATGATTAAAAAGAATTCAAAAAAACAATTAACAAAAACTTGACCCCTAAAATTAATTAATTAATTAATTAACAAAATTCAATAATAATAATAATAATTTCGTTAAAACCGTCTACGCCTCCTCTTACCCTCCCTTTCCCCTCCGCCCCCCCCCATTAAGGAAATTTAAAAAATAAATTCGTCGTGATCGTTTATCTCTTGATAAAGTATTAAATAATGGAATAAATTATTAATTAATTATTTATTTAATTATTTATTACGTAATTTTAATTATACGAAAAACGATTGATTTTTACATAATTTTTTTTACATTTACTAAAATATCCTTTCCATCGTGTTTATTATTATTATTATTATTATCATTATTATTATTATTATTATTAGTATTAGTATTATTATTTTTTTTTTTATACCTATTATTTTTATATTTATATGAAGATGTAAAATTATAAAATTTTTTTTTATTACGTCACAAGACAACACGCGGTTAAATTTAATTTTTCGCGGTTTTTTTTTTTTAAATTTTTTTTTTTTTTTTCATTTATTACATTTGGGTGCGTACGAGAGAGAGAGAGATAGACAAGGGAAGAGAGAGGGGAAGCGAGAGAGAGAGAGAGTATAATAACTTAATATATTTAGAGAAGAAAATTATAACGAATTATGTTATATATATATATTTGGACGTGATAAGTTTTTTTTTTTTTTTTTTTTTTTTTTTTACTCTTTGCCAAATAAAATTTTAAATTTTGCCAATTTATTTATTTATTCATTTATTTATTTATTTGGCATTTAATAAAAAAAAAAAAATCACATTCACGATTGTACGTAACGTAATTATTATTATTATCATCAATAAAAAGTAGAGTAAAATATTATGGAAAAAATACCTACATGACTTTACGTAAAAAAGTAAATAAATAAATAAATAATAATAATAAAAGTAAAATTTTTTTTCGTTGTAAAATAAATAAATAAATAAAATTAAATAATTTGTTTAGAAAAAAAGCGGTTTTTGTTAAATAATAATAATAATAATAATAACAACAAGTTTGACTCTGATTTAACTTGAGGTTAAAATTAATTAAAGAGGTTAAAAAAATAAATTTTTTTTTTTTCCTTACGATAAAATTATTATTATTATTATTATATTTAACGTTTTCATTAACGATGATTATTAAATTTTATTTTAATAACAAATCATCATCATCATCATCATCATCGTCGTAGTCGTAGTAAATTATCATTATTAATAATTTTTGTTAAATTAAAAATAAATATTTGTTCGCTTTAAAATTTTTTTTTTTTTTTTTATAAACGATAAAAATTTGACGAATTTTTATTAATAATAATAATAATAATAATAATAGTAGTAGTAATAATAATAATACTAATAGTAATAATAATAATAATAATGAATAATAAATAATAATAAGCCGGTTTAACATTGTACATTTATATATAAAGGAGATACGTGATGAGATCTCTTTATTTAAAAATTATTATTATTATTATTATTATTATTATTATTATTATTATCATCACATTTTTTTTTGTTACGATGGAGTTATTCAATTATTTTATTATAAGAAAAAAAAAAAAAAAACTGAACCTGGGAAATGAAAAGTCACTGAAAACTATGGTAAAAAAAAAAAAAAACGATTACATAACAATGACTCTGATATCATTAGGAGTAGAAAAAAAAAAAAAAAAAACGCAAATTTTAAAGGTGGGGAGTACGCATAAACGTATTTCGTCGGATTAAATGGGGGGGTTTCCTTTTTTTTTTTTATCAATCATTTCTAATAAGTTCTCGACTTCGATCATCCATCCATCCATCTTTTTTTTTGTCTGCCGAAAATGAAATCAACGATTATACGTCGAAATTTATTTAATACGACAAAATCTTTTACAACAGCAGTTGATATATCTGATGCTGATGTTGGGGATCATTTGAGGGTTTTGGAACGTTGTAAACCCTACAGCGAAGTACCTGGACCGAAGGGTTTACCATTTATTGGAAATTCATGGCGATTTCTACCCCTAATCGGTAAATATTAACTCCATTCATTATTATTATTATTATTATTTTTTGAATTTAATCGGTACTTAAGTAAATCGCGATTCTATTATTATTATTATTATTTTTTGCATTTTTTCTAACGTTTAAGTTTAAGAAAATTAATAATTTATTAACGTACAATTTATTTACATAACTTTAATAAATGAAAATCGGGAAAAATTTTAAATTAATTTAAAGTGTTAAATAAGCTTTTCGTTACACTGCAGTATTATTATTATTACTATTATTATTATTATTATTATTATTATAAAATTTAATTAAAAAAAAAAAAAAAAATCGAACGTTAATGATATTCCTATTAAAATTTATTAATAAAACTATTCGAATAAGTTTTAATATTTAAATAATTATTTATATAAATAAATAAAATTATTATTATTATTATTATTTTTAATTAATAAATAAATAAAATCAATAAGTTTTGTTTTAAGATTTGCCGAGGAGGAGTTTTACAAAAAATTATTTAAACAAATTTTTTTTTTTTTTTGTTGAAAATTTTCAAGTATAACGAAAACAAAAATTATTATTATTATTATTGTTGTTGTCGTTATTGTTATTGTTATTATTGTTGTTGCTGTTGTTGTTAAGTTACAAAAAATATTTTTTTTTTACTTAAACAAATAATATCAATTGGATTTTTTTAAAATGTTTTTTCACGGACGAAAATATTATTATTATTATTTTAACCTTTTAACCGTTTTTTTTTTAATTATTGTAATTTTTTTTACATTAAAAAAGAAAAACCTTGGTCGTTAACAATTTTTTTTTTTTTTGCAAATTGTTTTTAAAAAAAAAAATGACAATGACCCATCGGAAATTACCGTAAAAAATTTTTTTCTATTTACACGTCATTGAATTTTCACAAAATTATTATTATAATGACCCGCGTAATGTAATCGCATTAAAAAAAAAAAATTTTTAAATAAAATTCGCGCCAAAATTAATAATAATAATTACCCGATGAACGATGACACAAGGTAAAAGAAAAAAGTAAACAAAAACAGGTATTTTTTTTTAACGTTAAGGAGGTCATTTTTCCAGTATTATTATCATTATTATTATTATTAATAGATAATATTAAAATAAATCAATGATATGGGTTGTATATATGTATGGTTACGTTATTAACATTCGATTTTTTTTTACTTTTTGTTCGAATCGATTAAATAACATTTATTTAAATAATAATAATAATAACCTTAATTTAAAAAAAAAAAAAAAAAAAAAACCGGCATTTTTATATCCGGCATTTTATTACACGTGCCAATTTATCGATAATAATAATAATAATAATTTATTTAGGACATTATAAATTGGAGTCTTTGGATAAAGTTATGGAATCATTATATCGGGAATATGGCGACGTTGTAAAAATAAGCGGTTTGATTGGACATCCCGACCTTCTTTTCATATTCAATCCGAACGAAATCGAAAGGATATTCAAAAGAGAAGAAACTCTGCCACACAGGCCTAGCATGCCGAGTGTTAAATATTACAAACAAGTTCTACGTAAAGATTTTTTTGGTAAAAACACGGGAGTCGTTGGAGTGTAAGTGTTGTTGTTCATTTTGCCACCCATTTAATCCCATTAATCCCACCGCCTTCCTCAAACGTTTTAATTAATTAATGACCTCTATGGTTTAGCCACGGACAACAATGGAACGATTTTAGAAGTAAAGTTCATCAGACGATGATGCAACCGTCAACGGCAAAAAAATATCTAATACCGTTAAATCAAATAACGACGGAATTTTTAAATAGAATACAAGAGAATATAAAATCAAATGACGAATTATCGTGCGATTTCATGGAAGAACTTTATAAATGGGCTCTCGAATGTAAGTTTTATAAATGATAATAATAATAATAATAATAATAATAATAAACCCATCCCATAATTGCGTAAAAAAAGAAAAAGCCGAAAAAGAAATAATAATAATAATAATAATAATAAAATATTTTTAACAAAAGATTTGTCTCTTTTGTTGTTGACGACAATTTGTCACTGTCAAATTTTTTAACATTTTAAATAAAAAAAAAATAATAATAATAATATTCACGTATATAAAATAATACATAAGATTTTTACGTAACTACATAAATTTTTTTTTTTTTTATTCGTCGTGACGGAAATCGAAAAATTTAATGTTAATAACAAATAAATGTAAAAAAACTAATAATTATTTTCTCGTTCGATCGATAAAAAATCAATTTTCAAATCGGCCATATTTGGTCGAAAGTATTTATACACACACCCCGATAATAATAATAATAAAATGCATGCAATAAAAAATTTAAATTTTGTATGACGTCATAACAAAATCAGCGATAGGTAAAGTAGCTTTGGATACGAGATTAGGTTGTTTGAATAAAAATTTAGAAATGGAATCCGAAGCGCAAATAATGATCGATTCCGTCAAAACGTTTTTTGCAAATGTTGCACAAGTCGAATTGAGAATGCCTGTATGGAGAATATACAGCACTCCAGCCTGGAAAAAATACATAGGCGCGTTCGACGTTTTCAGAGAGTGAGTTAATTACCGAATATACATATCCTTCGCAATTTTCGAACTCTATTAATTAAATAATTTTTTTATTAAAGAACTTGTTTGAAATACATAAACGAATCAATGATAAAACTAAATTCTAAAACCTTAAAAGATGATGATGATGATGATGATGATGATATACCATTAGTCGAAAGGATACTATTGAAAACATCCGATCCGAAAGTGGCAACCGTTTTAGCTTTGGATTTACTTTTAGTCGGTATAGACACGGTTAGTAGGATTTTATGTACCTTAAGAGAAAATTTTTAATTTTCCTCACGTTAATAATAATAATAATAATGAAAATTTTGCAGACATCCGTTGCGGCAACGACAATTATTTACCATTTGGCAAAAAATCCAGAAAAACAAGAAAAATTATACCGAGAACTTTACAATTTGCTACCGAACGATGACGATTTGATAACGGAAAAAATAATATCACAATCGGTATATTTAAGCGCTTGCATAAAAGAAAGTTTAAGGTATGAATTGGCAAAAATTTTCTCCCCATTTTCCCCTTTTTCCTATTTTAAATAACGAGACAAAAATAATTTATCGATGACAGGATAAAACCCGTTATAATCGGAAACGGAAGAAGTTTAACATCGAATGCAATCATCAATAATTATCAGATTCCCAAAGGAGTAAGTTTTCCGATGTGAAATCCTTTTAAGGATTTTTTCCAAAAAATAAAAATAAAAAAATAATTGTTTTTTTAGACTCACGTTATATTTCCACATTACGTCGTCGGTAATCTTCCAGAATATTTTCCAAAACCCCAGGAATTCATACCCGAAAGATGGTTGAAATCTTCTTCTGGAAAATTTGGGGAAAAATGTCCACACGAAAATAAAATTCACAGATTTGCATCATTACCATTCGGATACGGAAGAAGAACTTGTTTGGGACGACGTTTTGCTGAAATTGAATTAAAAATTCTTATATCAAAGGTATGTAATTAAATTTTTGGGGCCATTTTAAAAATAAAAAAAATTTTCCGCTGTGACGTCATCATCACAGTTTACATGTTATTACGTTTAAATTGACTTATTAACCTAATAAAAATCAAAACCTGAGTTTTTTTTTTTTTAAAAAATAATTTAATAACATTATGTAATTTTATTACTATCGAGTATACGGTTAAATAAATTCACTCTCTCTCTCTCTCTTTCACTCTATCTCTCTTTCTCTCTTTTCAGATATTTAGAAAATATAAAGTGAGTTATAATTACGGGTTAATAAAATACCAAGTACAATCAACGTACAAATCATCTCATCCGATTTATTTTCATTTAAAAAAAAGAAAATGAAAAAAATCTATAAATTGTTAATTAATTATTTAAACAAACGATTACGTTCCAAACAAACAAACAAACAAACAAACAAATTGTTCAAAGTAAATAAAACAAAAAAAAAAAAAAAAAAATTTTTTTTTTATTAACTACGAGTATTCACACACGATTACAACGACCGCCGCCATTTTGAAAAAAAATTGATCCTTATTATTATTATTACGTAATTTTATATTTCAAATTAATTTTATTAATGTTTTTGTTTTTGTTTTAGTTTTATGTTTTAGTTTATTAATGTGCAAAATAATAATAATAATTTTTTATTAATACATAAATTTTTATTTATTTTTTTTTAATAATAAATTTAAAATTTTCCGAAGAAAAAAAAAAAAAAAGAAAAATTTTAATACGTCAGAACAATTAGTTTTTAAAATATTTTTCCAATAATAATAATAATAATAATAATAAATACGTTAATACAAATAAACTCGACAACGTTACAGACAACAACAAAATTGTTTTGTTAATTATTATTATTATTATATAATAATTAGAAAAAAAAATTTTTTTTTTTGGGTGATATCATTCGAATAAATTTTTTTATTATGACGTTCGAATCGATTTATATATAAATAAATAAATAAATAATTTCGTAATTTTTTTTATTATTATTATTGTTAAAAAAAAAATTAACAAATTAGTCGATTATTTTATATTTCAAGGCTTTAATGTCGGCTATCAACAACAACAACAACAACAAAAATTTCATTTCGTGATAAGACAAACAAAAACAAAACCGATAAATCCATTTTATTTTTGTATCAATAACTAATAATTTTCAAAATGTCGTTTTTTCATAAAATATTCAATATTAAATATTTATTTTTAATTTATTTTATTTTTTTTATATTAAAGGTAAGATTTTTCATTTTTTATTTTAATTTAATTTAATAATTTTTTTTTTTTTTTTTTTCATCATCCCGTGGGAAAAATCGAACCGTTTTGAATTATTTCTTTTACGGTTGAATTCGATGTTAATAATAATAATAATAATAAATTAAAGGTAAATGGATTTTCTTGGACATTTTGTGGGGATGATACGGATCAAATAAAAATTTCATCTCTCACCGGTTTTGTTAACGAATCAAAAATTTTAATATTAACGGGTAATGGTAAAGTTGGAATAAATGTTACATCTCCAATAAAGGTATTTAAATTATTTATTTTATGTAAAAGGTATTATTATTATTATTAATATTATTATGTTATAAGGTTATTTTAAGAGTTAAAAAAAAATTCTTTTGGGGATGGGCAAAAATACCATGCGTTGAAGATTTTGGTTCTTGTACCTATAAAGACATATGCACACTAAGTCCTTACATAAATGATACCGTTTGCCCTTCGGAATATAAAAATAATAATCTACCATGTAAATGTCCCATTTTAGAGGTAAATATTATTTATTTATTTAATAAAATGATTCTCCTTACCTGAACGAGTACTACCAATGAGTAATTGTCTGTTGTAATTTTTCTTTTGTTCAAGGGTCATTACGCAGCGAAAAATTTTCCAATTAATTTAAAAATACTTCCTGATTGGGTTGAAAATGGATTTTACAAAGTTAAAATAACCGTCATGAAAGAAAAGACAAGATTACTCTGTCTTGAATTATCTGAAACATTAAAATTTAAAAAATTAACGGATAAGACAAAAAAAAATAACGGTTAAAACTTTTTTTTTAATAATAATTAATTTAAAAAAATATTTAATATGTAATATTTATATAATTTTGAATTTTTATTTAACAAAAAAAAAAAAAAGGAGTAGTAGTAAATTATTATTATTATGTGAATAGGTTTTTTGTCGTTAATAGAAAAATGTTTGCATTAGTCAATTATTATTTTAATCAATCGATTAATTATTTGAAAAATTAGTCCATTTTTATTTTTATTTTTTTATTTTTTTTTGAAATAACACTTTAATAATATTGCACACTGAACTCATTAAAATTTTTATTATATCAAAACAATTAAAATTAACTTATCTAAAAAACTGATTACCGATTTTATATTTTTTTCCTTTTTTTACTTATAAAATGACTTTGAAATACTTCTCCCTCTTGAGTCGGTGAATCTGAAATGCTATTTATTTCTTCTTCATGTAAATCTGTCGCTTGTAAACTATTAAAGACAAATAAAAAATTAGTAAAAATGAATAATAATAATGATAATTTTAAAAAAAATAGATGTAAACTTAACTGAGCTTCTTGTTCTAAGCTGTGCAACATTTGAAAACCCGGTTCCAA